GAGATAATGGCCAAAACAAGAAACCCTCCCCCATATACTCTCCCATAGAAAAAATTCAAAAATTGCGCTCAAATTTGGTGAAATCGATATAAAACCCTCTCCCATATACTCCCCCATAGAAAACATTACAGATTACTTGCACGTCGATTGTACACTTGTTTAATTAATAATAAAAACACATTCAACTAATTCAATAGAAAACAGCAAGTGTGCTGTTCTACATTTACACCTAGCTATTTTTAATGTTCCTGTTCTGTCAACCATCAACTTTAATAATAAAAAACATACGGCAAAAAAACAAACTTGTTAAAACTATTTAACGGGCGCCTAGAGTGCACACATGTAACACATACAAAACGAGTGGGTGATTATTTGGTAATGCTCGCTTATCGCAATAAAACTATTTGATCTATAAATAATTAAATTACTCACATTTAACTCACCTTTATTACTCATACACAAACATCACCCAACATTACCATGGTGATAATAGATATACAATGTATGATACAATATGCAGCAACACATCAACATCAACAACAACAGTGACATTTAGGGGGTGAACGCGTGCGCAGAGCCGGCCATACGGTGTACTGATTGCCCACAGCGTTGGCAACACTACTGGTGTGAACAGCGATTGCAGCACCCGATGGTCTGTCTGGTCAGGTCTGTCACCTCTACCACCGCTACCATCGCTGACCATCGCCTCAAACAATGATTCGCCAGAAGATATCCGTTTTGGTCTTAGTCTTTGTCTTCTCGCTATTCCTCGTCAAAGACATCGCTCTCTTCCGCACCATTCAGTCCATCACTTTCAACGCTAACGTATGTCTCTCCCCCTCCCTCTCCCCCTCCCTCTCCCCCTCTCTCGCACTGTCACTAACTCTCCCTCTCTCTCTCTCTCCCGCCGGTGACCACTGGTTGTGATGGCCGCACACACGCACACAGACATCGCAGCCGTGTCCGCAGATCTACGCCAAGACAGTGATGTTGGATCACGTGAACAACTATATCATGAGTCCGCTGTCCCGCGAGTTCGAGGACACGATTCACTTGACCGCACGGTTCCCGTCGCTGACCGCCAATCAGGTGTCTTATTTCGGTGTTTTGGTGGCCGTTGTGGCCGCGCGTGTCGTACTGTCCGACACGCTGTGCGTCCGGCGTCTGGCCGTCGGCCTATTCCTCGTCAGGCAATTCGTGGACGACTTGGACGGACTCGTGGCCCGCATTCGCATCGGTATGGATCGCAATGTCGACGTATCCATCACTGGCACAACAGTAAGTGTCACCACCAGCTGCTGACCAACTGATCCGCACCACTGAGTAGTGTTAACCCCATATGTTTGACCGGTAGGGCTACGCCGTGGATGGGATCTGCGACGCGATCGGCTTCACTGTCTTCGTGGTCGCCGTATTCGCCCATTCGTTACGCAATACTAACTATAAGTACAAACCGATTATCGACGGCGACGGCGAGTCTCGCGCCAAACGTCTACTCCTCCGCAACTACGCCCTCTTCGGCCTACAGATGGCCCTCTCGTGTGTCCTCTGGAACCGTTACATCGATGTCTTTCATCGGCTTCTGGAGGTCCACCCGTCGGTCACTACCGTCCAGATATTCAAATCACGCCTTCAATGGGTGAGTCTGTATATGAACTAAACATAACAACACAGCACTCGGCCCTCCATATAGTGAACCAGTTATGTGACAACTAGACTAAAATGGCCACTAATTGAATAGAGTATTCAACAAGACTTACAATCAGTTTTGCAATTTAGTTCACTATATCGAGTCAATATGTTTTAGCTCTTTTTACATTGTTTTATAAACTAATGATTTAATTAATTAATCTTGCTCAGTTGATAATGTGGTTGTGGCGCTGCTATGGAAACGCGCACCAATTGATGATCTTCTTCTTGATGTCTGTCTGGTTGAACCGTTCCGACCAATTCGTCCAATGCGTCCACTTTATAGGCTTTGTGGCGCTCATTGGCCTATCATTTCTCACCGAAATGCATTTAAATGATGTATTTAACTATTAAACACTCATTTAATCGCATTAATTAATTGATTATATATTTCTATTATTTAGATCGAGAACTATTTAGCGGACACGAGCTGAGTGGCCCCCGGGGTTGAGCCCCACAAGCCTTAACCCCACCGCTATTGCCAACGCACCCGCCATTTGCGTACATATCCTAATTACATACCCCACCGGCCAATATATACACGAGTCATTAATTACCGCATATTATTATTATTACTATTATATAATAAATTAAATTAAATTATTAAAATTTTTAACTATTAAATAGTCATGTTATAAAACTTGTATTATTCCGTCGCCCCGTCTATACCGCGGGTCTACTTTTAATATCAATTTTAGTATTTTAAGCAACAAATGTATTATTGATTTTTGAAATATATATTTAATTTTTATAAATTATAACTCATTGTGTTTTATTTAAATAACCTTCATACAATCACAAAAACTATCTAGCATAAAGTATTATAGCCCACAATAGTGAACTTCACTGCAGATCATCAATGAGACAAAAAAAATCTACAGTATGTCTATTTGTATGCAAATTGTGGTATTTATATGAATTTATTAGTGAATCAATATATAAAGGCGTGGTTTACATGATATATACATGTTTACAATGAATGGCATAATTAGTGACACAAAAAACTTTATATTCAATTCATTTGCCAAACAATTGTATTGAAAGTCACGAAACGTTTAGCATTTGAATGGAAAACATGTAAAGCATTGAAACGCATAGCAAAAAGTCGAGAATAGTCTGGAAAAGGCGTTCTTCACTGCAGTGCACACTATTTCTAGACATTTCCATACATTTCTACGCGAATCTGTGCTTCACTGCAGAGCGTATATAAAGAGATCACACTTTCACTGCATTACTAGAAATAAACGCAAAAAAGTTTTCAAACAAAAAACTATTTCTTGGAAACAAATCACTGAAAACTTTGTGATTGGAAAGAGTTATTAATTGTAAATATAATTACATTTAATTTTCAATAATTATTATTAATTCAAAATTATATTTTGTTGATCGAAATAAACAAATACAATGTCTTTGAGTCCGTTTTTGCCGCACCGATGCGGCCGTAACTATTGGGATGTCTGGGATTGGCCGCAGTCTATCTTCGGGCAACATTTCGCCCTCGATTGGAATGAAGTCGACCATTGGATTCAATCCCGAGTGGACGGACGTATGGGACAGTTGACGGGACGCAGCGGCCAATCGCAGGTCTCCAACACCTCTGACCAGTTCTCCGTACGACTCGATTGCAGTCACTTTAAGCCCGAAGAGATCGAAGTGCGAACTCATGACAATTGGGTCTCAATTCATGGCAAACACGAGGAGAGAACTGATAGTCACGGATGGGTTAAACGCGAGTTCACCCGTCGGTACGCTCTGCCCGAGGGATGCGATGCCGAGACTGTTGTCTCACATTTGGACTCAAAAGGTATCCTCAAAGTGGAGGCACCGAAGAAACCGTTGCCACAAATCAAAGACAACGAACGCGTGGTTCCCATCGCTATCACCGCCGATGACGACAAGTAAACGCAAACAAAAAGTTTGGCTTCAATTCAAATTAAAATGTATTGTTTAGACTCCAAACAGTTGTTTAAACATAAAAATAATCTCGTATTTTACATTTCATTAATCTTTAACCCATATTATTATCTCATAAGTAATCATACAATTAATTTAAATAATAGCTTTATTATAAACATAGTGTAGTTATAAAAGTAAATATAATCTGAAAAATAAAAATGAATTTTAATTCAAACTATAATTGACCAAAAATACTGACAGTAATTACAATAAGATTTAAATACACTTTTAAGAACACCCAAAACTTTATAAACAAATGCTAACTATAAGACAATGAGTCAAACCTCCGACACATCCCATCACTTGTGATCTTCAAACGAGACGTCCATCAGATCTACAGAAACGTTGGGCGCCTTCGGCGACGGTTTGACCACTTTATGCACATTTTTCATATGCTTTTGACAGTTCCTGATTGTGAAGAACTCTTTATCGCAACCAATGAAATGGCATCTAAAGGCCTTTATATTCAAATGTCGATCCATGTGCTCCTGTAGTAGCACTTTAGCCGCGTAACTCTGGTCGCACTCCGGCCACGAGCACCGGTAGATGCGGTCGTGACGGCGTTTGTGGCGCTTGAGGTCACGTTCGGTGGCGTAACTCCGGCGACACTCGCCGATATCGCACGCGTACTGCTTATCACTCTCGGTATGAATTTCATGCTTTTTGATCACATGTTGTTTGAGCTCATACTCGGTATAGTAGCTGACACCACAGCCAATCATCTCGCACTTGAATGGCTTGATATTCTGGTGTCGATTCGTATGTATCGTGAGGTCCTGTTTGGTTTTGCCGGAGAACTGACATCCGGGCCAATCGCACGGATACTTCCCGGGCCTCGCGTTGCGCCGGTGTTTACGTTTGTGCGCTTTCAGGTCCTCCACAGTCGGGTAACTCTTCGTACAGTCGGCAAAATCGCAACAATGGTCGCCGCCGTCTGTGTGGACCAACTGGTGATTGCGGAGCGACTGTTCCCACCGGTAGGCCTGACCACAGCCGGGCCACGAGCACTCGTACAGCCGGCTCACGGCGTGCACCGTTGCCTTATGTCTGTTCAATAGGGTTAGCGTTTTGAAAGCTGTGGTACAGTCGGACTGATCGCACACGAAGTGACGACCGGTGAGGTCGTCGTCGCGGCCGCCGCGTCGGGGCGTAATGTCTGCGCACACTTTGCCCTCTCTTTCGGCGTACTTTTGGTGGGCTTTCAGATAGGATTTAGTGGAGAACCGGCGGTCACACGTCGGGCACTCGAAGGGCTTCTCTTTGGTGTGAACGGCGCTGACGTGTGCCCTCAGCTGATCCGACTGCGGGTAACTCCGGCCGCAGAACTCCCACTCACAGACATACGACCGCTTCAATGACCGGAAGCCCGACTTTCGGACCCGCTTTCGGATCAGATGGCTAGGGATCTTCGGTCGGCCCCTCTTATTCTTCCTCAACGGTTTTGGCGCCTCGTATTCATCGCTCGACCGGTTTATGTCTTCGGCAAACGCCTCGTTGTATTCCTCTTCGTCCACAGGATTATAGTCATTGCCGCTATCGTTGTCATCGTTCAAAACATTAATCTCACGCTTAATGAGTGGTTTAATGGTATGTTTTGTGGCAAATGTGATGTCAGCGGGAGTTTCGGTCTCCGCTTTGAGCTGTTCCTCCATCTGTTGTCTGTGAAGACATTCCTCGGCTTTAATGGTGTTGTAAATGATCTCCAAATCATTAAACTTGGATTCATTGCCGATATTGTGGTCACAAATACACGTGTT